TGAGATCTATAGATGCATTCGAAAAAATGTTCAGAATTTATGGAGTAAATTTGAAAATGAAATAACATTATCTCTCAATAATTTCAAATGAATCGATCGTCTTGTCTGTTTGCATTATCCAACTTTCGGTTTTAGTGTTCAGACTGAACAATCAAATGAGAACTTGTGGAATGAATATATTTTCATAGCATAGGAACCTAATCAATTTAGTTAAGAATTTCGTATAAATCGAAAAACGAAAATTTGAATTTTTAAAAGTCAAACAGAGATTAATTCAAGGAGGATAAAAGCATACTTTTGTATTTCTGAAGTATCAAAAGTATCAAGAAGTACCGAAAAGTATCGAGAAGGATAAAGAATGTTTACAGGAAAATGAGACAGTTCTTGTTAGGTTAAGATATCTATTAAAAGGCAAAAATAAATAAACCTATAAGAAAATAGACAGTATCAATGTAAATACTGTCTGCTTATTTCAATGACACGAGAAAGACGATCACTTGATAAAGCATTGTCTGTATTAGTTAAGTGTCAACATGCTGATTGCTTACGTAAATATTGCAACTCTTATTAATTTTGATTTTGAATGATGAATCTTTTAAATGCGAGTGAATTTTATCTAAGAGCTCAATGCCAGTAATTTTTTTTTGACAAACTCATATTTTCGTCCTTGTCTTCATCGTCCGTCATCGATCATTTTGTCGTCAAACTCTAGCAATTCTTGATTATCTTCGTCTTCATATTCCATAATATTATCATAACTTTCTGCATCTAATTCCAAACTATGTATGATAAAGGAAGATTGATTATATTACTTCTTTTTTCTCCTGAGCAAAAGAAATACACAAAACTATATAGGGACAAGTATGCATATGGAAAATTATGAAAAAGTTCAATGAAGTATGAAGAACTATGAGGAAATACGGAGAAATATAGAAAGATGCTTTTTCTCCTTAGAAATAACATGACGTGCTTTTCTCTACGAACATCTTAGTGCAAAGAATAATAGTAAAAAAAAGGCATGGTACTTCGTCTTCTACTATAGATGGTACTTTCATTATTTGTTTATTAATTTTTTTTAAATGAAAATCAAGATTATAAAGAGAAACTGGCCATATTGTCGAGAAATATGAAGAAGTATGGATAAAATACAAAGTAATATAGAGAAGTATGCTTTTGTCCCTCCTTGATATTGATTGAATACTTCTGCTCTGATAATCAAACAATTGTCGTCCTAATAAATCAAATAGATTTCAAAGAAAGACAAACTTGTTCTGTTTAGATAATTATTTTACTCTTCATTCTCAATAACATCCCAAGCAAAAAAAAGGTCGATAACAATAACCATCTTGCAAGAAGGAGGGCGTCGCACATCAGCGAGCGTTAGTAATTAGATGCGGCTCTTGTGTTCTCTGTTAGTAGTAGGCATAGAGTGAAAATCTTTTCTGTCGTCGAACATGAAAACTATAACATAAATTGTTACTGACGTTAATAAAGCAAATTCTTATGTTTTTTTTCCTTCTCGTTCTTCATCATCTAGAAAATGAGATAACCAAAATCGATAGTATCCTCTAGTCTAAAGACAATATTTTATTTGTTTTTATTACATTAACTATAATCACAGATCTTACGATTATAAATAAAACAGCAGTGAAATTATCGACGATTTCATCAAATTTAAATATAAATTCATAGCCAATGAAAACAAATCATTAATTAATTCGAGTACATATTTTTATCATTTAATTTTTTTCACATAGACAATAATTAGTTCTAAAATCAACTGTCATCTCTTATTTTCATAGGTTATATCGAATGCAATAGTTTTACGCTTGTTAAATCGCAAATATTTTGTTTTCTTTCAACTACAAGCTCTCATGCGTATATTACAAATATGTATCTATTCTCCATTAGTTAATAATAATCCATGGCTTAGATTCAAAGGTAAATTATTTATTCATTTTGTAGTTATAAATTAAGTTCTAGCGATAATGAAAATAAAAACAAATTTGATGAAATGTGATATAGAAGTTATAGAAAACAAAATATTTTCGTCATTGAATATGTCGCATTTGTTTTTGCTTGAAATAATAATTAAATAAATAATAATTATCACATCCAAAACTGTTTTTCATTTTCCGATTCGTAGGATTCTTTTACCACGCCCATTTAACCATATTTCGTCAAGCATCATCATCATCATTTTTTTCTTGTGATAAGACCTCATTGTCTTGCAATATAGCTTAGTTAAACAGACTATGTTTATGTATATATCTATATATTTGGAAAAGTTATGAGCATGGCTCATCACCATTAACTGTCAGTATGATTGACGAGGTGTTATAACTGTTCATTTATAAAGATAAACGTCAAAACTGTACTTATCTTCAGTCGCTTCTCTTGATCGTATTTTATAATGTGCATGCACTATTGCTGATTAATTGCTTACTTAGAAAAACTCGACCAATCTGTACCAATAATTGGATGCATTCTTCTGTTATTCTTTTTTTTTCTTCTCTATAAAGAAGAAAAAAGGCAAAGACATCACTTGCTAGACTTTTTCCTCATCAAACAGACAAGCGCAGATGTTATAGGCGAGAAAAAGAAGAAATTTCTCAATATATATATATATATATATATATACACACAGATATTTAATACTAATTTATGCAAATATTTGATCCATACATACACCAACGATTTATTCGTACCAATGTTTTTCTGATTAAATAATATTATGATTAGTACAACGAAGCAGAATTGGAATCGAGCAATAAAACTTTTCTTAATAATATCTTTTGTTGAAATTATTGTTAAATATGGTAAGAAATTTTGAAATAAGAGAATATATATAATTTAGAAATTACAGAATAAATTTCAAATTTTATTTGATATTAAGTTGAATATTTATTTCAATATCAATCATAGTAAAGAAGAAAAACAACTTATAAACTGTATTTAAAAAAAAATGACAAAGTCAATTTATTCATCTACTCCTAGCGTATATAGAAAATATATCAGATAAGAATCATTGCCCTTCGGTTACTTCGATATCTGAAACGTATCTCAAGGTCCTATTATTTTAATGACATTCAGTAAGTTCAACTACTTCATGGTAAATATAACAAATTACACGAATCGAACAGAAATCCATCATTATGCAACTCTATAGTTATTCGGAGAACTCTGATTTAATATTTATTTCATCGATATTTGTTTATTCATTGTAATAAGAATATAAACTTTACAAATATTGTAATGTTAAATAACAACTCCTAGAACAAATATAAGAATAATGAATAGTGACATATTGATATACACATAATAGAGCATCTCTATTACACTAAATTGTCGGTATGATATCATAACATCTGCAATTAAACATACCATTGATTAATTTTCCCGTTATGCCGATCTGTTACCTCCAACCCCGAGGCTATTATTGATTGCAGCAGTAGTCTAGACTGACCACTGTGATATTCTCTTCTCACTCGGTTTTTTTCTTCTTTGGATATAACATAAATAACTATTTGTTATTCATAGATTCATTATGATTTATCTCTTTGTCTCATTGACCTTGTTCGCTGACCATTTATTGTTATGATTATAAAATGATTTTTTTTTTCTTCTTCTTGCCTTCATGTTCACAGACGAATATACGTTTTGACATATCTATTTGTATAAGAGTGAGAGAAATGAATATATACGCCATCACTGCGTGTGTTCGATACAAACATATACACACATGCGCATGATCGGCAATATATTTCTTCGATGACATAAGTGGTGTCTTTAGTTACAGAGAAGAATATTGGCGGACGGGTATTCTTCACCTTGTTAGTTATACGGTGTTTATGTTGAGCTCCAGTGTTTTTACCTTTTTCTTTTGTTATTATAATCGTTTTCTTTGTCGAATAATTTGATGAAAAATATATACAAACATTGTGATTTTACTATGAATGTTTTCAAGGATTCATCTGATGGTAAGTTTATTGATTAGAAAAAAAGAATGAATTTTCATTTGTATGAAATGAAGTGCGGCTTCATTTCAACTTAAAAAGATTTATAATAAAACAAATAAGAAATGCTATTGTTTGATCATGTATTTATATTAATACTTATGAGAATCGATTAATCAATAGCGATATTGGGGCTTTTTTTCTATTGACAAAAACAAAAAAAGACTGTTGTTATGCTGATTAGTTGAAGCAATTTCCTTTTCTTTCAAATATCAAAGAATTCGAACAAAAAAAATCTATATTCTTTTTGTCAATATAATCTTTTGCTATTAGATGACAAGGCTTTCTTCGATTGAATTGTGTAAATATAAACAGAAATTCTCTTTTGATGATTGATCTGTTTTTTTTTCTCACTAAATTGTGATAATTTTTTTTTTCTTACTTCCTATCATAAGAATATTATTTTATCAAACAATATTGTCGATTTGTTTTAAGTACATTTATGTACAATGGCACTATACACGTAACAAATAGGTACTTGTTCTATACTAATCTTAAATAACTTGAAATTTAAGATTATTTCGATTATATATTCATTGACCTTCTTTTAATACTCATATTTAGTTTAGTTTCTTCTTTTTATTTATGAACAATTCCTGTATAAGTATAAATATCGTCTATGTATAGATTGTTGAAATATTGATTATTCTCTTGGGCTTCACAGTATGGATTATATTTTATTTATTCATTGTTATTGTCGATCATGAAAAGGTCATCGTTATCTTAATATCTATCATCTGGAAATATTTGACCAGTTTTTATTTTTCTATCATGCTATAAGAACAATAAAAACCATGGTTGTTGATATTTTGATTTGATCAATATTGAGAACTTTTTTTTTTTATTCTGTTTTTTTTCTCTTCTTCATAGGATATTTATATGTTCATTAAGAGAGAGAGAGAGAAAAAAAATAAAAAGAACATACCCTGCTGTATATGTATTCCTATAGAAATAAGACAGACAGAAAGTAAAGCATTAATTGTCATGGATATAAATTGTAATCGAAATAAAATATCATTTTGGCGTTTTCTTATCTCTGAACCATTTTATATAATTATTCGTACAATTTCATATAATTTTAATTATATATTTAAATCAACTAAATTTCTAATTGTAATATACTTACGAAACATTTGGACAAAAGGTAATATAAGAAAATAATAAATCATTTCTTATCGAATTTAATCAAGAAATAAAAGTGATATCTTTGCAATCGATTATTTATTATATTCAATTAAATACTCTTCTTTTTTTGATTTATGTATTTCTAGTCCGTCGTAGTGAAACAATCTGTTATCTAATTGGTTTTGGTATTGGTGTTGGTTGTTGTATTATTTATCGGTTTCTTACAAAATTTTTTAATTCTACAACGAATACGAAACTATCTATTAAATCACAAAGTGATGTAAGTTGAAAAAGAATATTCTATTAGAAAAAAAAAAATAAATTTGTTTTTATATCTTTAAAGATAAAAAAATCAATATCAACAAATAATTCTTATATAAATGAAAAAAATTTAATAAATTTAAAACATGAACATAATGATGATGATGATGATGATGATATTCATCATAAAACAATTATTGATGAAATGACATGGTCAGAAATGTCTTCATCATTAAGCACAACTAATCTTTTTCAAGATTCTTATCATTCCAATTCATTTACAGGTGATTCAGGTGTTGATTGTCCTGAAATACCTATTCGAAATCATCAAAAATATAAGGATGATGATGATAATGAAATATCCTTAAGAAAATATGATTCAGATCTAGGACTTCATCATGATACACGTAAATAAAAATTTTTCAACAACATAAAAAAATCTTCTAATTTTTCTTTTTTCTTTTTTTTTTAAGAAATAGTCACTGAATCTCATGTTATGTCTTATATATCAACAGAAAAAGGTTTAGAACGTGCATTAGAACAAACAAGTCGATTTTATACAGATCTTGAACATATTGCAACTGATCTTGGTACATTAACAAAACGATATTCACAATCTTATCAATCAATCGATGCACTTGATTGGGATTGGAATGATGATAGTCAATCACCAAAACGTCATCAACGAAAACATTATCAACAATTAATACGTTCAAATAATAAAAATAGAATTCGACGACGTTTAAATATAAATATAAATCAAACAGATTATAATGAATCAGACAATGAAAATCATTCATTTGATTATTCAACTTCACCATTAAGACGAAGTAATGAAACAAAAAAAATAAAATTTCTTTTCTGTTTTCTATATTCACCTTTTTTTTTATTTTAGAACATAGTTCAGTTTATTTTGATTCAACGGATAATACAAGTGACGAAGATCATGTAGGAGATGAAACTTTATAAATGAATTTATAGATAAGATTTATTTTCCTTTGTTTTTGTTTTTGCAAATCTTATCGTTCATTTCCGGTGGTGATCAATTGAAGAGATTCTTAATAGAACAAAAGAAAAAAAAAAAATTTCTATCTCTATATTCTTTAACTGCAATGAGATCTCTATTTATATGTCAGATTATGTCCATGTATTATTCGTAAAAACATTTGCTTTATTCCTGTGCTTTGTCTTAGATATATAATGAAATTTCTTTTGCTTATTCTCTACCTTGTTCTCCTTTTTCTTTTTTTTTTTTTTGTTCACAAAAAAATTGCATTTGATTATTCTAAATATAGATTAATAAACAATTCTCTATCATAGTCTATATTATTACATTTAACATTGTTTTATATTTGTCATTGTTATTCTTGCCTTAGATATATAAGTATTTTCAAATAAAGTCGATGAATTATATTTGAAAGAATATTGATTTCCCTAAAGGTCCGCTGCAACATTGAGACAATAATTCTATGAAAATATGCTCTTTTAGTAACAGCGTGTTCCAATTAGACGTGTGCGAGATCAGTCATTTGTAGTTTCGATCCCAATATTGCTCATATCTACTTAGACCACACATAAGTCGTAATATGATGACATTTGACGCAAGTCGTACACGACTATAAAAGGTATTATTCTCAATGAAAAAGTGTTGGTCCTGATTCTGAAACTATTTTGTCCATATCTAGTTGTAATGCTTCAGTTAATACTAGTGTCAATATACACAAACTACATTAAGTCGGTGATCAATAAATTGAAACTAGACATCCCAATTTCTATATGAATTATAACTTCAAAAGAAACTGTTGAAAAGGATTAATTTAGTTCGATTAGGTTGTTACTTTCTTTTTTTCTATGACATTTTCATCGTTTTGCCAACGGCAATATATATTCGGTTAGAGATTGTTGATAGATTATGATCGAACGAATTTGTTTCAATGAAATTTCAATTTATTTATAAAGTTAGACGAATATTTAGAGGGAATTTTTCTTTTCAAAGAATAATGAGTTGTATTATTTGATTTTATGTAAAAATGAGATAAAAATCTTTAGAAGACAAGAAATTTTTGTTGTTTTTTTTTCGTCGATTTGTACAATGTCTACAGTTATTAAAAGAAAACGAAGAATGTTACATACAATCTCATCTAAATTATGTCAAGGATAACTATAATTGATAAGATCTAATTGAAAAGATTTATGATCTTTAGTTGTCATACTATTTGACTAACAAGTAATTAAATCTGAGATATCAAAGAAAATGACGACATACAAAACCTGTCTAAGTCTTAAATTCTCAAATCTAATAACATGATGACCTTCGTATATTTATTCATTATTTTGGTTCCAACGTTTATCATCTGTCGTTCTCAACTGATAGATATTAATATGCCGTACAACATACAAATCTATATTACGCACACTAGAACATTCAACTGTCATAATTAACCTTTAAATTGATTTACCAAACATGCCATAAATGAGTAAATGATAAACAATGGGAATGTCACAGCTGAAGTACAATATACCGAATTGGGTTTTTTTAATTAGTGGTATAGACCTAAGTCAATTTTTTTTTGCATATGTATAATATAAATAGTGTTCGAAAAAATTATTGTTGACGTCATAAAAGAAATGTCAATTGTTGTCAAGTAAGAAAATATACGTATGTGGACCGACTAGGGTCAGGCGTGACTCATGGTCACGGTCGTAATCATTGTTAATTTTTTTTTTGCAATTTCATGACCGTGACTGAGTTTTGGTTACGGTGAGTTATAGTCGTTAAAATAGCCATACATCCTATATTTCTGTTAACTGGTTAGATGCTTAACAACACAAATGACCTCGGTTTTTTTTTGTAGATTCAATATCTACAGCTACTTTATATATATAAATCACGCATAATATTAATCATAATTTATATTTTGAACAATAAAAATGCTACAATAAAGTCAAATTTTAGATCTATAATCCTTGTTTTGTTTTGAGAGATTAATAAAGTCTCTATACCAAACTAACGAATTAGACTGTTTGATTGAATAATAGTAAGAGTTTTGTCGAATTTCGCTAATATATTCATTTGAAAAATAATGTATTTTAATAAAATAAAATGAAGGATACATAGAGACTGAATTGAACATAAATAATTTACAGATTTTACATAAAATATTAGATCAAACAAAAACAAAAGTTGAATGTGTACTTAAACATGATTATCAGAAAAATTCGTTTGAAATAATTGAGAATTTTCAGTTTTAAAAATTTTCGAAATTGTATCGTCATTTTTAAAAAGAAGATCATTATGTATTTCAACATTTTCATCAATTGGCATCACAGTATGATTGAAAAATAACAGTTTATCAGTAACTATTTCCAAAAATTCAATATCCTCTTTGATATCATCCACTTTTGTAATCATTTCTTCAATAGATATTTTTGTTACCAATTCATCTTGAACAATTGGAGCTGATAAAACGATCGTTTCCATGATCAAACATAAAGTAAGAAAAATAAATATAGTCCGATTAGAAATCATTGTATTGAGTAAATCAAATCTCTTGTACATGAACAGGGTGAAAGAGATATAGATAAATGAATGTATTATATATTACGCGCTTTTCTATCTGGTCGAAAATTGATAACATTTCCTTTTTTATTTGTTTATTACTAATAGATACTATCGATACACTAACAAGAGAATATTTTCAACTAATCATTGATTTTCTCACTGAAAGTTCGTTAATTGTAAATTATGAACTACATATCTTCACAAATTAATTTTTCAGACTAAAAAAATATTTTTGATCTATTCAGATATTGATATGCATCTGTTGTATTGTCTGCAAAAAGATTTGAAATAGAAAAAGTTACTGTTTTCTAGGCAATTCAATATGTTCTATAATCTGGAAAGAACAAAAAACAATTTTTGGCAAAAAAGTTTTTCAGTCTAGAAAACCTCGAGGGGATTTCTCATAGCCAATAATTTACAATCTATTAACTTTCGATGAGAAATTAATAGAGCAATTCAAAACATTCTCGTGTAAGACACAGTAATCGACTATGTTCTGTTCGATCTACGCCATTTTATTCTATATCATGTCGACCCTATTATATTATCTCGTAACGAATCACTATCTATTAGAAAAGAAGAAAAAAAACAAATAATTTTATTAAATATAAAAATTAAAACAATAAATAATTTTCAACAAAGATCAATTCTTTTCAATATATAATTCATTTAAATTGAAAAAAACAAAATTAATTCGAACTATTGAATTGTTTCAAAACACAAGATGCAAAAATATTTATTATCTACATGTATAAAAAATCGAAAATTGGATTTTTGAAATAAAGATAATTTTTATCTTACTTATTGTCTCATTCCATTGTGAAACATGATCTAAAATGTGTACTGTAGTAGAGAAATAAAAATTTACAACTCACTCATAGATCGTTTATGAATAATCTCTCGTTATAACATATGAACTACAACCTTATTGTATTTCTCGAGAAGGATGATGAAGAAATGTGTCTCCAAAATAGACAGAATAAAATAATCTCCTTGTAATTAGCAACAATAATTAGGTATACATCGTATTTCATATTTTAATCCTGCAAGGATTATACTAATAGCACAGCCTTGTTTTTTTTTTTTACACAATGATTTTACTTTCAAAAGTCTTCTTAGAATGAATCTATAAATGTTGTAATTAAATAAAAATATAAGGTAATAATAAATTGATTATTAGTTTTTAGGGTTTTATTTTTTGTTTGTTTTATATGAGTTATTTTATTTACATAGATAATAGAAATATTTCTTATCTATCAATAAAAAATAATAAAACAAGATAAATCAATAATAATATCATTGCTAAACACAAGACAAAGTTTTCAATTTATTCGTAATATTTCATTTTCATTTCAATATTTACAATTAAAAACAAAAAACTTTCTCTTATTATTAATTGTATAAAATATACACATAAATATATATATATAATTATCACAAAAAAAAAAACAATAAACAGATCTCGTCGTTTTCCTATCTCTTTTTTTTTTGATTATGCACATAAAATACAACAATAATGCCTATTTACATACTAAAATGATAATAAAACTATTTGTGTATTGCATGATATACATTAAAAAGAAAACGAATTATCAATCATCATCATCATCATCATTATTATTCTTCGAATTTGGAATAAATTTAAGTAAAAGTGCAGCATCAACATTTGTTGAACATTGTGGACATGTTAGACTTTTTTGTAACCATCCATCTATACATGTTGGATGAAATATATGTGCACCATCGCATGGTAATTGTCGAACTTTTTCATTAGGCATAAAATCAATTAGACAAATAGCACAACTAAAACAAAAAATGTTATTCTTTGTTTTTTATTATTATTTAATTTTAAAATCAATATTTCATTTACTCAGTTTGTTTGATTAGTTTTTCATTATAATTAATTAATGATAAATGTTCAAAAAGATTTCGAGATTGTGCTTCTTTAATAAGATTAATATCTGTTGTTATAGATGAAGAATTACCAGATGATCGATTTACTGTAACTAACTGAAAATTGATTCAAATTTTTTTTAGGATGAAAAAATAAAAAAAAAAGGTTTACTTTAGGGATAAATGTATCAGACGGAGTAGAAGTTGAATTTGAACTTGAAGAAGATACTATTACTGAAGCAGAACGAGTGGAAGGCATCGGTAGAAGACTAGCACGATCATCTGTCCTTCGCCAACAATTACCCATTGGAAGAAGAATATTTTATAAAATCCACCCAACAATTAGAAACCTAACAATCAAAGACAAAAAACATATGTATTTATATATCAATTACGAATAAAGCGTAGGACAACATCAGCTGGTGTGTCTTACCATTTCTTTTCTCGTGACTATGATTGATTGAAAATTTATCATATAGATTATCCAATATTAAAATAGTTTCTTTTTTTTTTTATTAAATTTTTAAATCAAATCTATTTACTAATACATATAAAACTTTTTTCTATTATCCAATCTTCATCGAAACAGATGTCACTAAATGTTTTGAATACAAAAAAAAAATCACTTCGTTAGAGATGCACATATGCACTTGTCTATCATGGCTGTTTTGTCGTCGTATGATTGTTTTCATACTCTTTTTTTTTGAATCGTCTGATTAATTAGTTTTAATTTTAGATATATTATTTCTTCCCATTCCCTTATATTTAATTTCCCATTTGAAATAAATATGACGAGCAATAATCGTTCATCAGCTACTGGTCAACCAGCACGAACATGTCAATTTAAAATGGTTCTATTAGGTGAATCAGCTGTTGGTAAATCATCCTTGGTACTTCGTTTTGTTAAAGGACAATTTCATGAATATCAAGAATCAACTATAGGTGCAGCATTTCTTACACAAACTGTATCTGTTGATGATACAACAGTTAAACTTGAATTATGGGATACAGCTGGACAAGAAAGGTAAATTAAATTGATTTTCTTTTTATTTTCTTTTATTTTTTATTATCTTTCATTGTTAGATATCATTCATTAGCTCCAATGTATTATCGGGGTGCTCAAGCTGCAATTGTTGTTTATGATATAACAAATGCAGATACATTTAGTCGAGCTAAAGTATGGGTTAAAGAATTACAACGTCAAGCAGCACCAAATATTGTTATTGCTTTAGCTGGTAATAAAGTTGATTTAGCTACTAAACGACAAGTTGAAGTTGCTGATGCTCAAACATATGCAGAAGAAAATGGTTTAATATTTATGGAAACATCAGCTAAAACATCAATGAATGTTAATGATATATTTATGGCCATAGCAAGAAAATTACCAAAAACTCAAGATACATCAAATCCAAGTGGTGGACGAGGGCGTGATAATGATGGTCAACGAGTAAGAGTTAATCAATCGCCAAATCAAAGAGTAACTGAAAATGAAGGTGGATGTTGTGGTAGCAAGTAAATGGACTTTCTTTTATCGTGTGTTTTTTTTTCTAATTCCTTTATTATGAATAAAAAAGACGCTCTTCACGATCAAATTGAATTTGTCAAAAATAAAAAATTTGAAACATATATCTTTAATTTTTTCTTTTTCTTTTTTTTTCTTCTTTTCTTTTGTTTAATTTCTCTTGTCTTGTATTGCTGTAAATCTTTTTGTTGTCTTTTTATTTGCTTCTGCCCTTTTTCTTTTTTTTTCGAATATTTAAAGAAAGAAATCAACAAACATAACTTCTATATTATATATATAAATATATATATACACGTATGCATATATCCATTGTATTCGATCTTTTTATAACTATGCCTCTTTGCATTCAGTTTTTTTTTTCTGTCGCGTGTGATGATTTTGGCCGCTGATTTTTTTGTTTGTTTGTTTGTTTGTTTGTTTCCACAAAGAAGGAGAAGAAGAAAAAAATACAGTTTATCTTTTTTTTTTTAATGATACATCAGCTAGAAATTTCGAATACAGACAATCACTTATATTTGCATGCAATAATGTGAAACACTATAAAACAAAAGCACATCTTTTATGTGTTTTCTTTTTGTGAAAAAAAAAAAAGAAAGCAAATAAAAACAAAACCATATTATTTTATATTGTAGACCGAAATATGAATATATCATTATTTAAACTTCTTCGTTCATTGTTTCTTGTTCTATTTATTACAATTATTGAATATAGACGTGGTTCATTTACACTTTCAGGAGCTTTAACTGGTTTTATACTTAGTATAATAATAGCTTATTCAAATATTGTTTTTTTACTTGTTATAATGACATTTGTTTTAAGTGGTTCATTTGTTACACGTTATAAATTTGATATAAAACAATCAAAAATTAATGAAAATGATCATCAAATACAAACAAAAAAATATAAAAAAACTGCACGTGATCATATTCAAGTATTATGTAATGGTTCAATAGCATGTCTTTATGCAATAGGTTATTGTTGGAAAACAAATTATTCTGGTCTTTCACTACCAATTGATAATAAACATGAATCGTCTATTTATTCAATTGGTTTTATTTTTACAATTGCTTGTTGCTGTGGTGATACATTAGGTAAATTTAAATTCTTCATATATAAGAACTGTTTCGAAAATTCTATAACAATTATAAAAATTCATCGTTTTTTGTATTCGATAGAAGTAAACTTTGTTTTTTTTTTATAATTTCGTCAGATTATTGTACATTTTTAGTACTAAATAACTACAAAGTTTCATATCGATAGCTGTTAATATAGATAAGAACCTCTAACAACATTACAATGCACTATTTTATCAATTTTCTAGTTACTTAAGTTGCTATTTTTAAAGCAAAGCAACTTTTCGAAATAAAAAAAACGCATATCAATTTGTCAATGTTGTTCTATTCCGTATTAATATCGTCCAATGTTATTGTATTCCTACTCTCTTAATATTACTTTTGATACACCCTAGATTTATTCTATAGACTAAACTACGGTTAATTATGCAACAAAAGTTTTTGGTTCAATTCGAAAAATTTAGAAGTGTCTGAATTATACTTGCAATTCTATATTTGCTTTTTTATATTCGTTTAATGTTATCGCTAATCACTTTGAATATTTACATGGTGTGCGTGTATAGCTTAATCATCATCTATGTTCTTAATGCCACCCCTCATAATTTCATTCTATAGATTTAACGTTGTTTTTGTTTGAAGGAAAATGTGAGAATGTAGGGCTTCATAGTGTCCTTTTTTTAAAAGTCTTACTTTTTAAGTGAAGAAAAGTTCAATGTATTGAAGGACTCTCAAAAAATTGCCATTTATTTATAGAAATGCTTTGTTATATATAGTAATATTGCTTAATTCAAAAAAGGGACTTCATCATGCTCGGCATCTTGACATACTCTTTGAAACAAAAAGTTAAGTGTATAGAATGAAGACTCATGGAGAATCATGATTTGCAGGATCAAAAAACAAAAACTGAGAAAAAATGAAAATCATCAAAAATTTTGGCAAAAGACTAAGTACCAAATAAAAAATCATGTTGTTTATGAAAGATTAGGTATCAAGCTATCTTCACATACATATATCTCGATTTCAATCTTTCGGACAAACATTGACTTTTTTTGAGGGTGGGCTTAATGTACCGATATCAATTCGAGTGATGAGTAACATATTCATTTCTCTGTATGCCAACTTGTGTAACATCATGTGCCGAATTTCTATAGATCATATCTATATTACTTAATTTAAAAAAATGGTCAACTAAATTCAATTCATGAGTTGTATTGTCTCGCACTGTCCGAACATGTTTGTATTACATTTTAACAACTCAAATAATTAGAAAATTATATAAAATAGTGCATTATAGTGTTGGTACAATTTCTCATCGATAGTAAAAGCTATCGATATGAAAATTTGTAGTTGTTTAGTACTAAGCAAGTACAAAAATATACTCAAATTAAAAACAAAAATTTTATGGAATACAAAAATGATGACTTTTTAAAATTATTTGAAAACACTTGAAATATTCATTATTTAAAATTAATTTTCTATTATAGCATCAGAACTTGGTTCTGTTCTTGCTCAAAAGAATCCACGTTTATTAACAAATCCATTTCGAATAGTTCCTGTTGGTACAAATGGTGCTATATCATTGGTTGGATGTTTATTTAGTCTATTCGGTGGTTTTATTATAGGTCTTAGTTATATTATTGGTAATATGATATTTTGCCGGCCAGATTATATGATTAATACATGGACGATAAATATTCAATTACTTTTCTATTGTACATTATTTGGTCTTCTTGGTTCTTCAATTGATTCACTATTAGGTGCAACCTTACAATTTAGTGGTTATGATAGAGAACGTAATGTTACAGTACAATTACCTGGACCATCAATTGAACGAATCTCTGGTCGAAATATATTATCAAATAATCAAGTAAATCTTCTATCATCATTTCTTACATCGATTATTGCTATTTGGATTTTACCAAGTATTATGGTTTAATATTTTAGGTTTAGTTGAAAGAATTTAATTTTTTTTGTGATTTTTGTATTATAAAAAAAGGAATTATTAATCATAGGTAACAATAATTAACGATTTATTTGATAAGATGGATAGAATATTGTCACTTCAAATGGATCTTTATGTAATGAGAGAAATTCTATTGACGTGGTTGTAAATTAGGAATATATAATTTTTTTTTCAGTTACATTCAAAAATATGTGGGAGTAAGTAACTGTCGATCAGTAAAATAAAAATTTCTGTTGTTGAATTTCTCGAATGGAACTTATTGTACGACATTTATGCATGAAAGAAAAAGATAAAAATAGATATATCATTCAGATAGAAAAGATTAGAATAAGATCTGTTTTATGTTACTAAAATAATCAACCGAACATCATGAATTTAGAGTATAGCTTGTGGTGTTGGCTATGAAGAAGATTTTTTGTTTTTGTTTTCAATAAAATTTGAAATTTCTTGTCTGATACATATTTGTATTCAAATACAATCATGTCTTTTACATTCCTTTAAAAAAATATGCGCACAAATGGTGTCATGTTTCGCGAATGAAAACTGAATATGAAGCGAAATCATCGATATATAAAAGTAATAAAATAATACAACAGAGAAAAACTTCAACAGTGTTTTTCTAACGAAAGTAGCAGAACAAATGAATCTTTCAGTATTTTCTCAATATTTCTGCCATTTCTTATCGTTTCGGATTGAACTTTTCTTCAACAGATGCAACCTGAAATTGTCTGCAAGATCAGAAAAAAAACACGTCTATTAACAAAATAGAACTATTGTGACACTGTATTGCTATCGAATCTCAATTATAAATTCACAACATAATTTTTATGCCCTATATGAAGGATAGATTTCGCGACGTTTGTTGCAGAGACTAGACGTAAGTACACTGTTGTATCAGTGTCTACAAAACAATACAATTTGTTTTTTTATTCAAAACTGCTTATGAGAAAAAAAGTTGAAAATACATGCAAATTTAAGGTCGAATTTGAAGTAATCTCGTTTTTGTTTACTGAACGGAAGGCTGTCAAAAACAACTTGTACCATTTTGAAGGTGCTGATGAGATGCGTCGAATGAGTTCTACGATTGCATACTTATAGGAGAAAGGAAAAGTATTAGGTGTATCAGAACAATCTACTTACATCCAGTCTTTGGTTCGTTGAGAAAATCATTGAATATGACTATGAAATTGAGCTCTACAAAATGGACAGTAAGACTTTTCCATATTTCAGCATCAGAACATAAAAATATGAAAAAAATCAATTTAATGCTTGATAGTTGTTAGTAGTTCATTGTCATAATAGTTATCGAATAAATTTTTTACTTACTATGTTTTCAATCCACACTTTCCTAGGATTTTGTAAAGAATTTCGTGCTATATCTTTTGGAAAAAATGATTCTGTCATACCCATTAATAATCAAGAATTTGTGGAAATAGAAGAACAATTTTTAAACTCAAACTTCAACTTCATACAGTAAATTAATTTTTTTATTTATTTCAACTTCTGTCTCATTCTTCATCTATGAATACTTGTATAAAAAAGAAAGAAAACAATTCCTCATTAATTCAATTATTATTTTGGAATTGAGCTTCATTCTAAGAATAAAATCATTTTTAAAAATTAGATTGGTTCAGTTCCAGAAAAAAAATCGCGAACAATCTTATCAAATTCAGATTTCAGAAATGTGTAGATTTTTGTTTGAAGTTAGAGGAATACATAGCAATTTTCTCCTGAAGAACAATGAAAGATCCATTCCGTTAAGCATTTTTCTCTTTGTCATATTAACTTGATAACGGTAATATTTTCTTAGAAATCATGCCAAATCAAAAAAGAAAGATAATCATTAAAACTTCCATCTGTGGTTATTTCACGGTCATTTATTGAAATATACAAAAAAAAAAATAGAAGAGAAAAGTCAATTTAAAATCCAATATAAACTAGAAAGAAGAGTATATATGAAAGACAAGTTTTTTCTCATGTGTTCCAATTACAAAATTCTATACACTAATAATCAATGTTCATTCATATTCTAAACTATGTTCTAACTAAGTTGTGCATCATTATGTTTCAGTTCTTAACTTAAAATAAAAATTCCATGGGACTGAAAACATTTTCAAAAAAAACAACTGTGCCCAATAAACGCTACAGTAAATCAACGCTCTTTATATTCATCGTTGAACAAAATATAGTTCAATGAGTCTAAATAATGGAAAAGTAACTGCTGTAAAAATAAATCCAAGTTGAAAACCAACGTCTGCACCCTGTGCATCAGTATCTCGTGCAATAGCTTTTGCAATCGGTCCATTAAACCAAGTTTGTGACATTCCAAGTATAATACCAACAATTCCAACAATTCCAGATAGAATTGCAGCTAAACTAATTGGTAATAGTTGATAATTATTCCAGATTTCAAAATTATAATTTTTAAATGAACAATGTCGAAATAATAGATGATCTTCAAATACAATAACCATAAATATTGCAAACCAATATGAAGATACACCCATCAGTGATGTTAATGAATCATTAAATTTATTTGCACCAACAATAGCTAATAGAATATAGAGTATAGTACCAATAATTGTATATAGAAAACGCGGTATACGATTAAATATTGGTGCAATTACTTGTGCAGATAATGATAAAGAATAGATATTTGGTATATTACATGCAACAGTTGACAATGCAAATAGAATGAGTAGAAATTTACCGAAACTACCAAGAGACGATAGACTTGCACCCAATAATCCACCAACATTGTTTATTTCATACTCACGATTCCATTTCTCACTTGTATATGTACCAGTATAGACAGTTGCACCAAGTAATTGTATTGGAATCATTGAAAAAAGATTACCAATATAAGTAAAAAGAAAGATTTTTAATTGACTTGTATCTTCAGGAAAATATGTATTGTAATCAGCTGAACATGTGCACCAGCTAGCTGAAGTACCAAAACATGTTGCGCCAAAACTTAGAATACGAGATATTTTCAGACGATGATTACTATTGCTTGATATAGTTGTATTGTGAGATACCTATATAGGATGTAAATATACAGAATTTCATTCATTCACTTGAAAGTTTTTCACATCAATTAACAACATGATCTCACTTTCATGCAAAGTTGGTTATGAAAACAAACAAGCGTCTTTTTTTTTGTCTTTTTAAAATAATCCTGCACGTTTTCAACACAGTTTTCTGACAGATTATTTAAGAAAAGTAAAAATTCGCTGTACAAACACATCTCTACATACATCGCGTTTTCAACTAAGATGAAAAGTTTGCAAGCAGTTCAAGTTTTCGTCAACATTTTTTCGATCATGATCACACGACTGATTTCGACTTGAAAATAAAAAGCACAGTTTACTCTTGCTAAAAATTTTCCTATCCTTTTAAAATACTAGGAAATTTCTTTTTAAGTGTCAAATATATTAGAGAATAGATTTTCTCACAGTTTTCGGATATTACCATTCCAGAATTTGTAAAATACTTTGCACCAACTTTCGCTAATATACAATATCCTATAAATACCGGTATCCATGAATACCGTTCATACATATGAATCCATTTATAACCTATAAATGAGACGACCATGGTTATAATAGCAATAATAATAATACTAGCAGCCATCGGCAATGAATCATTAAATACAACACGTAATGTTTGTGCACCAGTGATACTATTAAGAGCTGCCCAACCGATTGAAGCTATAACATTGATAGTTGATGTTATTGAAGCACCATAATAACCCCAACTATAGCGAGAAAAGATCATTGTACGTAGACCAGATGCTGGACCGAAACAGGCCATTACTGCTACTGGTATAATACCAAGTAAATTGAAAAAGATAATTGTTGCAAATGAATCGTAGAGGTTTAATTTGAATACTGCTGGACCAAGTGTACCACCAGCAAAACACGGTACAATTAAATTTGCACTGACCTAATAGACAAAAAATGAGTAACAATGATAATCTAAATTATACACCTAAGTTCAATAGTTTTGGCAAGTACTTGAGATGTTTTTTAAATTGGGCACGCAGTTTCATAGATTCTGTTTTAATAAAAATTTCACTTGAAAATCGACAAAAATGATCTCACTAACACATCTTTCTACTAATCAAAAGTGATTATAGGTGACTATTTTTTTCGTACATTAGATTCTCTGAGAATCAGAATAAAATAGAGTCAAAACAATCAAGAATATCGATATTTATCGAAAAGCACTTAGTTATTCGTATAGACTCATTCAAATAGTAAAAAATCAGCCGGTTTTGAAAGGATTTTTCTAAGCATTGTAGGTGCTTTATCTTCACAGTTATAGAACTAAATAAAAATCATCGAAAATCTTCAGGGAACTGTAGATCAAACCTTTTAGGTTTCTTACCCATATCATTGCCGTGTTGATAATTGTCGGATCGGTTCGATCTTCTGGTGATATACGTTCAATACCGCGTTTTTCTACATTGAGACAGGCAAATCTTTTTACAATCTTGTGGAAATAACTCGTAATAGAACTACACTTTCCACGGGTGAAATTTGTATTGGAGTCAAACCCATCATTCTTGCTATTTGTACGAGTGAAATTAAGTTCAATTCCATGTTCATCGGAAGCTGAAGATACAATGGACGATATCGTTGGTGTGGGATTATCATTCAACATTTTCAAATTTTATCTAAATGATCATTGACTTCGTAATTCACGAAACAAACTAAAATGATAATAATTAGTTTATATTAGCTTCTCAATCTTTGGGCATCTCTCTCTCTCTGCTCTTGTATGACCATTCGCTCGCCACTGACTATTATACAAGAATATGATGATAAATACTTTCGTTTCTTCTTTTTCTTCATTTCATGTCATAATGAGATGACTCCACAGTGAGTTATTTGAAAAACAGGCAAACTTTCAAAAATTCTATTTTCATAATTTTTTTTATAAAGTAAAATTGTACAATTTAAAATACATAATTAGTCATCTAGATGTATTATCAAGAGAAAATAGAAGACCATTATAAAGTGATTCTCTGCATTAATTGGTCGATGATGAATGCAGGGAATCCTAGAACTTTCGAGTGCACAACCAATGTTGTCTGAAATCATTAATATAGATATAAGCACTGAAGTCTATCAGCAAAAAAAAATGTTAAATCATTTTAACCGAATATAAGTAGTATTGAAAAACCGCCATTCCAAAATTTTTCTCGGAGGACTACGGTGTAGTAGTACGTTGAATATATTTGTTAAATCTATGCATATATATATATAAGATCTAGTAAAATATATAATGACAACAAAAAATTTTGTTTCAGTTTAATGAAAATAAATATATAACGTTAACAACAGATGTTGTCACAATAATTTTTATCAACCTCTACAAACTGTAGTTCATTATAAGTAAAATTGAATTCATATATATAGGGCGTCCTAAAAATCCCTTCTTAAAAATTGTTTTGACGAATCTTCATTATTTGATTTAACTTTACGAACTATTTTTTTGAACGATAGGCCGATACACCGAGTTTTGATTTGTAGGAGCAAACTTCAAAAGTACCCTTCAACCTATCACTTCTAATTGTGATATGAAAATTTAGTCCTTTTTCTATATGTAAAAAGATATTATGCAACGATTATTGTTTATTCTTTTCCTTTTCTTGGATATTATTCACACGCCCACCCTTTGCACTGTTTAATAAACACAGCTACCATATTTGAACTCAAAATGATTCACATACTGCTTCAAAGTTACAACGTATTCAGCAAAACTTACTGTTTCATGTGTAATATCAAGCAGACTGATTGGTGGATCACTTTTTTTGATAACTCAGCGATTAGCCATCATGGCGCAACAACTACTCAGGTGGAGAAATCCGATCATTGAATCTTGTCGGATAATGTCGAAAATAGTCGGTTTCCGACTTCTTCTGATCGGAATCCATCGAATTGAGTTCATAATCCAGTGATCCAGAATCCGATGAATATTTAAATGGGAAAGAATCTTATCGAATCCTGCAACGAAACTTAAGAGATCCAATAGGATCAAGTCGGATTTAAATCAGCATTCTATACTTGTCCTCTTTCCTATCATTCCTTTATCCATAATATGGCATTACATTTAGGATGCCAATATTAAAAATCTACGATCTACTCTTATTGTTCCTTTATTAAGTACAGAACACGAGATAAATCCAGATCTCGTTATCAAGACACAGTGCAAAAAAATTACCATCCTTGTCATCAAAATCGCGTAAGAATCAGTCATTTTATTGCAATTTGTAAAACGATTAAATGTGAGATCTCTTTCTTCCCATGCGCAGTAAATAATACAATTTCTTTAAATATAATAATACTGATCTTTTTGTTATAGAGAGAGATTTAAATAAAACAAAAAAGTATATTATTATAAACTAATACTTACTTTTCATTGAAATGTTTAAATGACCTCAATAAAAGAAAAAAAATATTTATTATTGCTAATTAATCCTTATCTTCCATTGAGGTGTGCAAATGACTCAATAAAAAAAGAAAAATATTTATTATTACAAATTGACACTTACTGTTCATTGATGTGTGCAAATGATCTAAACAAAAGAAAGGAACATTTATTTTTTATAAAGCAAGACTTACTGTTCAACTTATTTTTTGTTAAATCGCCGATTAATCTCTAAAAGTGACGCGATTTCGATGAAATGAAATACATAATAAATATACTTCACATTTCAGACAGTGCTCGTTTCTTATCAATCATTCATCTTTTTTTATTAATATTGAAAATTTTCGATTATGATTAGACAAAAATAGCAATAATATTATGTTTCTTAAATTTGTTCTAGTGGTGTAACCAAAATTTTGATAGTGGAGAAGCATAACATGACCGGGCTCTCCGTTAGTTAGATGGTCGGACTCTGTCTGGTGGAGGAGGAGGCTCGTTTACAGAGTTTAGTTAGCGTGGCTTCGATCGGTATGAGTAGGTGTGCGGGGTGAGAGCTTAGTACCCTTGGTTAAACAGTTGTTTGTTCATTTTGATAATTGCTTTTCGAGGAGAAAACAGTTAGTTCAATTCATTTTTACACAGAACGAACTCTTCAAAAGACTCAATTGGCTCAGGCAACTTCTATTTTGCAACACGAGAAAATAACTATAATTAGATACTATCGTCACAAAATTTTAAGACATATTCGACAGTTCCTTCTATCAAAATATCGGATGACTAATATTGTGGGAACAGATGAAACCGACTGGATTCTGATAACTGAATCCTATAGAATTCGGCTTCCAGGTTTCATCGAAGTCTGGTAATTGGAATACGTCGAAAATTATGGGAATTAATTAAGATCTGATCGGATTTTGACAATCGGATTCAGCCATCAGAATTCATCGAATTGAGATAGATCTGACAGAATCCAATGCCAGACTTTTGACCTGAGTAGTCAACAAAATAATCTTGACATCCTCCAAAGATTCTTTTACCTGATTCAATAGGAATAAAAGACTTACTAAAAAATAGTAATTTTCCAGCAACGTATGGCATTAGCACATTGCTTCAAGACAGTTTACTACTGTCTAACTGATAAGTTTGAGGAATCAGTAGTTTAGAAAAGATGAATCGATCTCATGAACTTTATAGTCACTAAGACTTAATACTATTGGATTTCTTTTTATCAGAATATATCAAAACAAATGTTTATAAAATGAACACTCAAGACCTGAACAATTTAAGAAGAAGAATGATTCATGAAATTGATGTAATTTAAAACAAATCACTGTATAATGCTTTTCTACATGTAAAAAAGGCAAAGTTTTGGTACATTGATTAGAAGTGATAGTTTTAAATGATGCTTTTGAAGTTTGCTCATGTAAATAAAAACCCGGTATATCCGTCTATCGTTTAAAAAAATAGTTGATAAAGTTAAATTAAATAGTAAAAATATACGAAAAAAAACTTTTCGGAAGAGGCCTTTGGGATACCTTGTACACATATTTATATATATGTACAGTATTGGTCAAAATTATAAGAACAAGAGATTTTTAGTTTTCTAACTCTGTTTTCATCTTTTCATTTAATTCTTGAATTAATTTGTCTACCCATACACATGCTTTTTGTTATGCTCTATTCGAAGATGAACTCGAAATTTTTTGCAAGGCCTTTTGTTTTCATAAAAGTAGCTTTACTAAAAAAACGATGTTCGTTCACATCTAAAATTATACACTACAACTTGCGTCTCATAATGCGTTATGTAACTATCAAAACTGAAATGCTTTTCATAATAAATTATTTGGAAGAGAAAATGATGCTCTACACGATGGACTACATTTTATTGCAGTTTTTATTTGAGATAGAGGCGAACTTATGTGATTGCTCAGACGTACCAAAACTTTTGGAAAACTGCATTTTTCTCCACTGATTTTCAGTCAATTTCAATTTTGAATCTTCCATTAGAAAGAGCACCACAAAGTACATCCGAAATGCTATTCTAAAAATTAATTTATCGTGAAAAGTTGCGCAAGTCGATTCTCATGTTCTCATGGCCAATATATTGGATTACTTATATTCACTCATCAGTACATTGGCGAGAATAATAGTGTTCATTTAAATATTAGAAATTTATAGAGAGTTTTTTCTCTATAAGTTTATCATAAATGAACTCAAAATTAACTCAAATAAAATGAATTACGCAGCTTTCTTTTGTTTTAACATCTAGTAGTGAAAACTGACTAACAGCTTCAGCTAAAAACTGAGCTGACTTTTTGCTCAACAAAGTAGCTCAGGATTAAATCAATTGTGCAAATTTGCTCAGAATTTGATGCTCTTTGGAATGATAAATGATGTGACCAAATCTGTTTTTGATTTGAGGAGTTCTGAGACCAGTATCTGTTTGAATCTATGAGTCAGTCTTTACTACTAGATGTTAAAACAAAAGAACACTGTGTAATTCATTTTATTTAAGTTAATTTTCAGTTCGCCTATGATCATCTTGTAGAGAAAATTCCCTATAAACTTATAATGTTTAAAAGAAAATCACTATTCTCTACGATGTGCTGATAAGTGAATACAACTAGATAGTCTAATGCGTTGCCTGCGAGAACATGAGAATCGATTTGTTCAACTTTCCACGATAAATTGACTGTTAGAAGAGCATTTCTGATGCAGTTTGTAATA